ACCCCCGCCGCCCCCACCGGCCTGCCCAAGCGCCGGAAATCAGCTGCTCACTTACGGGACCAACTTATCGCCCCATCACATGCAGCAGACCCATGCAGGAGACGCGCAACAGTCCAAAAGACGGAGGTAAATTGCGTATTATCTTCCCTTTCTTTTCTCTCTCTTCTCTTTCTTTTAACGTCTTTTATGTTTGTGATTCTTTTGAGGATGAAGCGGAGAGACACGAAAAATCTGTGTGGGCTTTATCTGTGTGCAGAGATGTTCCTTTTTAGAGGAAAGAGATTAGATTTACGTTCGTTATACACGGATGTGTGGATGGAATATAAATGTAAATTGGAAATTTTGGATTCAATTTTAAGAGAAGGTATTATAATGATTTGATGTGAATGAAGTAGAAGCATGGAGGATTTCTTTATGTGAGAACAAGAAGAAGAGAAATGACGATTCTTTTCCTTTTGTGTAGGAGGAAATTAAATTTCAATATAAGAATAAATTTTGGAAAATTAATTTTCAACTGTTGGGACAGTAAATAATAGAAATTTGGTCAGGAATCAACGTATTGGGTAGAATAGAGGTTTTTAAAGATCTTATGGAAGATTTACATCACTCCATTTTGGAGTGTTTAATTTTATTCTTATGAACAAATGGATCTTTGGTATCTCGTAATTTAAAAATTATTTAATTTTGGTGCGAAACCATGAAAATGTTGTGGTTTGTGGAAAAGTGTGTTTCTGAAAGAGGAGTCGCACTTTCAAAAGATTCAGAATAATCGATACAGAATAGTTATAATTAGCACAAGAAGATGGCCAAGTGAATTCTTGACCTATATGCTTATAATTACGATGTAGTCTTCCTTATGATTTGAATGATGCAGTGTTGAAAAAGATCAAAAACACCGCGGCTTTTTTAAGAAGAAAGAGCTTCATCATACATATTTCACTCTCAAACAAAGAGGTCTCATTGTATTACAAGAGTCATATGAATCACTTCCATTATCTGTTCCAATTCATGACTCGCCCATTAAAATTCTTCAATCTTTAACATTTTATATTATCAATCCCCAAAAACGATCATTTATTCATAAATTCATATTACTAAATATTTTAAAATACTCCAATTTTCAATAATTCAATATCTACAAAGAAATTAAACAAATTCAAGCATCTTGCTCTGCATATTCTTCAAAAATTCCAATTTTTAACTTTATATCTCAAATATTATTTCCTTTTTAAAATTTTCCAAACTTAAAATCGACAACAAATACAGATCAACAAAATCTCAACGAATTCCTCCTCGTAAATCCCCATAATTCCATTCCTTTAATAACCCCTCTTTATCTCTCCCCACCAACCGAGAGAGTTCTCGAATTTAAAGAAAAAAAACAACAACAACAACGTGATCCAGCCGTTCGTTACAATATTTCCAAATTGCATAAATAACTGTTCTGCATTGTTAACGAGGCACAAGAGTCGGTCGAAAGAAAGAAAGAAAGAAAGAAAGAAGAGAACAGAATAAAAATAAGAGGGGTAAGGGAGAGGTGAAAGAATTCGAGGCTAGGCTGCGCCGTCTAGTTCGGTCTAGTTTCGAGTTGGGATCGTGACCGATTGTTCTCGCAATTGCTTATTGAAATTGAGAGAGCCGAAGCGTGTGTTAGCGGTCATGGATTCGCTATTCCCTTAAATCAATAGCCCACGGGGGAAACTTTGCGCGGTAACCGTTTGGGAATTTCCTCTCTTCTTCGATATCTATCCAAAGACAGATCGAAGAACGAAGATCGAAACGATATGATCGAACGTTTCTCTCCTTCGTCCTTTCGGCCGATATTTATCCGTTTGAAAATTAATAGGTAATAGGATGAATGTTTGTGCGCTTGAAACGTACAACAAATTTGCAACGTGTATGGTGTATTGTTTAAAAAGAGGCGGGTGATAGGTTCCACTGTTTGGAATTCCAATTCGTTTATCCACGTTGGAAATTCGAATCGAATGTTTTCGACGATACAAAATTGGAAGGGGAAAAATTTCACGATATCCTGTTGCAAAATTGAAAATAGGGTAGCAGATTAATTGAATCGAAAGAGAGTCCCTTTTAGAGAAAATTTAGATGCGAAATAAAGGAGGAAAATAATTCTGGAGAGTTGATTGAGATGAATTTTTAAAAATGAGGGATTGGTAAGAGAAAAAAATTTTACTTCTTTGATTTGCGTGCAACGAATTTGGTTTTGCACACCAAGATTTTATTATTGATTTTATAATTGCATTATAATCAAATGATTAATTAGAAATTTCGAAAGTTGTATATATTAGTTCTCAATAAATTCAATTTGTATCGTATTGATATTACAATTGATCAATATTCTAGAGAAATCTCGTAGAATTAAAGATACCAACGAAGAATTTTAATTAGAATAAGTAGAATAATTCTAAAGATAAAAAATTATCATTCTTTAGAAACTTTAAAATTTTAGCAAACTGCCATATCGATCAATGAACAAGGGATGTCAAGTGAAATATATTAAAAAAATATTTAGAAGAAAATATATTTCAATTTCTAATTTCCTCGTCGAAATCTTCACTCCTCAAAATCTCCTCGAGTTCAATTCGAATCCCTCGACTCGAACTACTCGAATTCCTCGATTATCTCTAAAAATCGATAAAAATTCCACGTAAAAACTTGCTCCAACATCGATCGTTATCTCGATGATAAATTTTAAAATCGGCGAAGAAAAGAACAATAGGGGGGAGATAAGAGAAGGCAAGGTGAGGGACGATCGAAAGGAGTAGTAGTTTTAATTGACGGAGTGAACTTTGATAGGCGACGATCGTCGAAATAGCATGTCAAGTTCTCCATGAAATTTATCACGTATCGTGTTATCAATGACAAAACAATCCCACCGTATCGGCAATAATTTTCGCCCAGCGCGACGATTGGTCGGAAATGGTAGCGGTTATGCTGTCTTTGAATCGAGATAGCCGGATTATCGGTGAAACCCGCGTAAAAACAACGTGGACCATCGTAAAACCGCTTTACCGCTACCACGTGAACGGAAACGCGGATATCATGGGCCCGATAGCGGGTTCGAAAGCGTACAATGTTAGTACTTATATTTCTGTATTTGCATTTCAGTCTTATTATTTCTCTTCTTTTTTTCCACATTTTATAATTTTTATTTTTCATTTATTTTTCCATTTTCTTATTTATTTATTTATTTTTTTTTTCTTGTACTAATTAGTAGGCGTTTGTATTCTTAGAGTTTGAAGAGATTCGTTGAGAATAATATACATGCGATTCGAGTATATTTTGGGAAATTATGTTACTTAAGGATTTAGGAAAAGATGATTAAAAAGAAAAGTAGTTTTAGAAAGAAATTAATTTCCCTTTAAAATTAATATTTCACTATGATTTATTTATTTCTTTTTAATTGTTTGATCCTTTTGCCTATTGGCTATTACAAAATTTCCAATTTTAACAAAGAATAAAAATAAATTCGTCAAAAACCTGTTATGAATACGCATTTCAAGATTTACAATGTTTTCTTGATAATATTCCCTTATTTTTAAATAAAAAAAAAATAAAATATTGCATTAAAACGAATTTTCATCCAATCCATTTGTATGTCCATTGTTCCGATTCATTAGAATGTTGACGATCACCCGGTTGTTGCTCGGTGTGCAAATTGTTATTAAAAGATCGGCAACTTTTTCCAGTGAAATCCAAAACACGTTGACGAGACGAATTTATAAATAATGTCACGTTTTGACGGAAGTAAATTGCTTCATTATTGTACAATGTCTTGCGTAACCATCGTTGGACTTCATTATATATGTATACAAAAGGATTGAAAAACGATTGTGCGTACGACTTCCTCATACTTCGGCCCCGATACCGACACGAAGTTATAATGTTTATTGCGTGACTGTTTTTCAATCGACACTATGTATGTATCGTGTTCTTGCGTTATATTCGTTTCTACGAATTCTTTTTTTAGCTTTCATTCTAAATAAAAAAAACTTTTTCCAAAGAAATTAGAAATTGAATAGGAAAAAAAAAGAAAAGATGGAAAAGAAAAATACAAATACTTGAGAGAAGAAATTACTCGATCGATAAGAAGGAAATCGAATTATCTTCAAAAATCGAGAAGAAGAATTTAATGGATATATTTTATACATTTCATGAGTTGGAAAAGAATAGCACGATTTCAATTTAATTTTCGCAGTTAATGACTTAATCTAAATACCACCCTCCATCTCCATCTTTGTTTTTTAACAACTTTTCCACGAAACGAATATCGAATATATACATTATACATTTCATGATTTGGAAAAAAAATCGAATAGCACGATTTCAATTTAATTTTCGCAATTACTAACTTCTAAATACCACCCTCCATCTCCATCTTCGACTTTTCCACGAAAATCGAATAATAAATTAGATCGAATCCTTCTTAATTTCTTAATCCAAATTTTTTCGAAAGTTTGAGTCGAAAACGAAAAATGAAAGAATGGAATGATCTCTCGTACAAGTTTATGATCCCACGAGGAGGGTGGAGAAGGAGAATCGTAAAAATTCTTCCTCGTTGTTGAACGAAAAGAGTGGGATAGAAGCCGGTCTCTATCGCGTAAAAAACTCGATCTATCGAAAGGGCACGGCCGTTCCCGGTGATACATTCGTCGAAGGGTGTTTTTTCCTCGTTTCCACCACCGCCTCCGCAATCCTCCACGCGGTTTTTCCTCTACTCTTCCCATTATCCTCGCCGGTTTATTCTCACTTTCGTCGAATCCGGACGAGTCACGCTCGATCGACTTCTTCTTCCACCTCTTCTTCTTTTTTCTTCCTCTTTCTTCTTGTCAACTCCTGGTCCTTCTGAACCATTCTTAAGGGGATCGCACACGATCCACAATATAATAATATCGATGTGATTATTGAATATGATTGGATATATATATATATTGTAAAATTATATTGTTATTGCTTTTTTCTTAATCTATCGGAAAGAGATAGCTTCTTTGCTCTTAGTCTAAACAATTTATCCGTAAAATATTTTATTTTGTGAATAGATAAAGCGAGAAAGACAGGAGAAAATAAATACAATGTAACGTTATTAAAGAAATAATTGTTATAAGAAG